CTACACATCACTTGCATCTTCAACTCATCCCATGCCTCATGTCACCAAGCTCATACAAAATTTCCTTATTTTGCTACAGCACAACCACGTTACGTTTAGCAATTGGCAAACATGAATTATTGTCATTCTAATTTGCGAAAACTGACTACCTGATTGATAATTGTCAAACAACCTCTATTATTTGATTCTTCTCATTTTTCGTAATTTAATTCCCTAAAAGTAAAAACAATGAATTGTAGTGCACTTAACCATTCTAATCACACAAATTTAAGAGAAATATCATTAATTATATATATAAATATTAACATATCAAAGGCCTTCACGTGGAGACACAAAATTGAGTTACTCTTACTCACAACTTCTTTAGTTAAAAATAATAAACTTGAACATTATGGGCAAATGGTGCGACGTCGGTTTGTAATAAAAGTTGGCATAATGAGTTGTCAAAGTAGTTTTATGAATGCGTCCCACATAATGGGTTGTCAACTAGTCCTTTGTTAACTGTGAATTGGATATGGAGACAAGTGAATCCGAAGTAGGGCTCTTGTTATTGCAGCCGTGCAGCTTTAGTCAAATCGAGAGTGCAGTCATTGTGCGATGTTTGGGCAGACGTCTGGGGTTCGAACCCCACCTCGAAAAAGAAAGGGTGCAGTCATTTTAGATGGTCCCATAGCCTCCTCCCTCTCTAATCATGGTTCCCCCCCGGTCTACTGAATTGAGTTGGACCCGAGTTCGAGTTCTCTTTCCATAAATTAGATTAATTTCTAATAATTTAAATTATTATTTGTATATAAAAAATAAATGAGAAGCAGTTGTTTTAAGACTCTTTAATATGCACAAATGATTCTTGTAATTTGACCCAACAAAATGAGAGAAGCAGAGGACGATTGCAAACGAACATAACCAGAAGAACAAAAAAAATGAACATCGATCAAATTATTCATCTCCCCCAAAACAAAGCGAAAACATTAAAACTCTGCAACTAATTAACACCAATTTCATGCGTGGATTCAAAGGTCTTGAAGCCCTTTAGCAAACAGAGAAGCAAAAGCTTGCATATGATGTTTTTCCAAAACCAAACCAACCTCAACATCTCCAGCAATACCATCCCTACACTCTGCCAGGGACATGGCTCCTGTCACTTCGATCGAAACCACCTCCACCTTGTTTGGCCTTCCCCATCCAAAATCTGTATCATAAATCCCAAACCTTGGTGAACCAGCAACACCCATAAATCTCTTTTCACTCCTCACAGAAGAATAAACTATTGGAACCAAAGTCTCTGCCCCTTTCAAAATCCCATCATTGTCCGCACTTTTTATAGCTTCACTGATTTCGTTGACCGCCACGGTCAATCCATCTTCTCCAAGAAGCCCTTTTCTCTCTGCAACTATTACACGGCCGGCTATGCAGTTCCCAAAATAGTTTGCAGGTATCGGAGGGTCAAAGCGAGGCCTGCAGTCCATAGTGAAGCCCATCATAACTGGCTTATCGGTCTGTTTTTCCTCTGCCTTGAGTAAGCAAACCCATGTATAAGCACATGTTACAGAAAATGTTGACAAATGAGGACGATCAGATTGTTTTTCATTCTTGATCATCTCTGCCATTTTGGTCGAAACCCATTGCTTCATTGCTTCTATTTCGGGTCGTGTGATTACAAAGATGCCGCGAACAGCGTCTGATGGTGGAGATTTAAACTGGGTAACCATCAAGCTCCTGTTGTTGGGTCCGTCCAGATTCTGAAGTTGGTTCAAGAAGATTGGTTCGAGCCCGGCCGGGTCTTGGACGACCCTTCTGTCAAAAAATGGTTTCAGCTGATCTGGTAGAGCTGAACCAGATAGATCATCACCAAGATGTTTGCAAATGTGAGCCCATGATTTCACAAACATGGTTGAAGACTTGCCGTCCAGGATGGCATGGTGCATGGATGTTCCAATGGAGAAGCCATTGCCGTTGGGAAAGATGGTGACTTGGAACGCCACGGCTGCGGCCTTTTCGTGAGAGGTTGTCAATTGGGGTACGAGAGAATGGTACTCTTTGGCCTCAACAAAGTTGCTACGGCTTGAAAGATGGTGGAAATCGGCATCAGACTCGGCTATGGTGAGTGAAACGGCGTCGCCTTGGACATAACTGAGAATGGGCTTGGGGGAGTCTTGGGGCCATTTGAGGTTCCCTGCTAGTGGTAGGAATTGTTGGAGGGCGACAGAGAGGGAGGCTTTGAGTTTTGAAACGAGTATGGTGGTGTCAAAGGAGTTGGAGATTTCATAGAAGAAAAGGCGTTGGACGGGTGCAAATCTGAGCCAGAGCAAATCAAACAAGGTTAGAGGAAGGGCCTCAGGCGGAGGTGTGGCTGAGCCAGCAGGTGAGCTTGGCTGTGGAGCAACATTGCAAACCTCAAGCACTCTGACTGAGTTTAGCTCTGCCATCGGGGATGGATCACGGAAGCAAATTTTTTATTTTTTATTTGGTTGATCGGAATGAATGGAAGCAAAGTTGAATGAAAGGTTTGATATAAGTGTGCGGACGTGGGTGCCGAGTAGAAACCGACATTGACTTGTAGATGGTGATATTATGTTCGAATCCTAGTAGTGTGTGAAATAAATATCATCCTAGGATACGCCTAATTAATATTCCTTAATTCTTCAGAGGCCATGCCGCAAACGGTTGTAAAGATAAGAAGCAATGTGGCCAATCTAGTGTCTGTGGGACAGTCTTGAAATCTCTTTCTGTTTTGTGGTTATCCAAAATGAGTATCACCAGCCTCAAACAGTGAGAAGTCCAAGAATTTAGAAACCCAAAACTCTGCCCCTTCCAAAAGCCCATCATCGAAAAAAAAGAAAATAATTGGGAAATTCAGTAGTGAGTGTGCCATGCCATATATGAAGGTTTCACAGAAGACCATGAGCAAACAGAGCAGCAAAAGCATCCATATATTGTTTCTTCAAAACCAACCCAATCTCAACACCTCCACCACCATTCTTGCTATCTGACAACGAGATCGCCCCGTTTTATCTATAGAAACCACTTCTGTTCTCCTTGGTCTTCCCCATCCAAAATCAGTGTCATAAATCTGAAACCGATTTGAACCAGCAACGGAAGTCAATATAAAATAATTGGTCTGCGCATCACTGCTATACAAAGTTGAAACCCAATTCTCTGCCCCATTCAAAATCCCCTTATTATCCAAACCTTTTATGGCTTCCCTAATTGCATGTACCGCCAAAACCAACCCATCTTCTCCAAACAGGCCTTTTGTCTCTGCAACTACTCTACCGCCCGCTATGCCGTTGCCAAAATAGTTGGCGGGGAGAGGAGGGTCCAGGCGGGACCTGCAGTCAATGCTAAAGATCATGGCTATTTTCTCGCCTCTGATTTCCTTTGCCTTTGACTTGGCCAAGCAAACCCATGCATAGGCACATGTGAGAGAAAACGTTGAAAAGTGAACCGATTGATGTTGTTGTTGTTGTTGTTGTTGCTTCTTCATCACCAAGTGCCTTAACGCTTGTATATTTGTGCTTGTGAATTCAAAGGTGCCTCGAACCGAGTCTGGTGGCACTGGAGCTTCCCAAAGCGCACACATCAAGCTTCGATTTTCGGGTCGGTCCAAATTCAGAAAGCGGTTCAAGTAGATGGATTCCAGCCCAGCAGGGTCCTTGATGACTACGCCATAAAATGGTTTTAGCTTATCCGGTAACAATAATCCTCCATGTTTACAGAGGTGAGCCCATGATTTAAGAAACAGGGTTGAACTTTTTCCATCTAGGATTGCATGGTGCATGCATGTTCCCATTGAAAATCCACGGCTAGGAAAGAGGGTGATTTGCAAGGCCATTGCTGCGGCTTTTTCATGAGATATTGCCAACTTGGGCACGAGAGGATGGTATTTTATGGCTTCAACAAATTCATTGCAACTTGAAAGATGGTCGAAATAATCAGAACGATGATCACCAGAGTAGTGGGCTATTGTGAGTGAAACGGCGTCGCCTTGGACATAATTGAGAAGGGGTTTGTGGGAAGTTTGAGGCCAAGTGAGGCTTCCTGCTAGAGGTAGAAAGTGTTGGAGGGTGAGAGAGAGCGAGGCTTTGAGTTTTGGTAGTATGGAATCAAAGAAGAGTGGTGTTGGGTCAGAGGAAGGAGGCAATTCGTAGAAAAATATGCTTTGAAAAGGTGGAAATCTTAGCCAGAATAGGTCAAAGAAAGTTAGCTCAGGAAGGAACCATGGTGTGGCTGGGGGCAATGGAACTTCTTGTGGTTCTGGAGCCACCCTGCAAATCTCAATTACTTTCACTACTGAGTTTGGCTCTGCCATTGCAGATGGAACCAAGTTATATGAAAATTCTTATAAATCGAGAGACCCTATTAAGCAACTACGTATAATGTTATAGCTTATTAGAAGCAACACAATTCAATAGTATTTCAAGTGTCATGATAAGATGCCACATGGCCAACACGAACATAATCGTGTTGGTCACACGAGGAACACATCATACATAGTATTTCAAGTGTATGATGTATTCCTTTAGACTAAGCTGGTTCTAGCTGGTGGGTTCTGTCATCACTTTCTTCCACCGATCCGTAACCACATCCACATGTACGTTTCACTTTCTGTTTGTATGAGCATAACTTGGGTTGTATTTCACATGCATGACCTACAAGTATGATACTTTTAGCCTCTCATCGGTCGAATCTCATCAATTTATAACCAATAAACAACTGTAATGTTATATGGCTGCAACACAATTCAATAGTATTTCAAGTGTCATGATAAGATGCCATGTGGCCAACACGAACATGATCAGGAGTACCGACCCGATCACAAGTGGCATGGATCACGAAGTTCTGGCCAGCATAGCATGGTCAAAGGGTGCGATCAGTCGGTCTCACCCGGCCCGATTCATTACGACAGCCCTCCCTCTTTACACCGATATTCGAATCCCTTTTTTATAAATTAGATTAATTTTGAGTCATTTAAATTATCATTCATACTTTTTTATATATAAAAACAAAAAACAAAGAGCCATTTTCTCAACCAAAAAAAAAAAGGAGACAAAGAGCCACTGTAAACCAACACAACAAAATCCATAGGAGAACAATGGATTTTTTACTTTACACAATCGATATTTTATTTTAATTTCATTTAAATTACAGAAATGTGATTCGAGAGTTGGGAGTACATAAGCTCTGAAGGGCTTGTTGCAAAGGTTTCACAGGTCTTTAGCAAGCAGAACAGCAAAAGCATCCATATATTGTTTTTTCAAAACCAACCCAATCTCAACACCTCCACCACCATTCTTGCTATCTGATAAAGAGATCGGCCCCGATTTATCTATAGACGCGACTTCTGTTCTCTTTGGTCTTCCCCATCCAAAATCAGTATCATAAAGCTGAAACCGATTTGAGCCAACAATGGTAAGCACTCTAACATCTGTGCTTTGCATATCACGGTATAAAGTTGAAATCCAATTCTCTGCACCATTCAACAGCCCCTTATCCAAACCTTTTATGACTTCAGTGATTGCATTTACAGCCAAAACCAACCCATCTTCTCCTAATAGGCCTTTTCTCTCTGCAACTACTGCACGGCCCGCTAGGCAGTTCCCAAAATAGTTTGAAGGTAGAGGAGGGTCCAAGCGGGACCTACAGTCAACGCTAAAGATCATAACTATTTTGTCACCTTCTATTTCCTCTGTCTTGGCTAAACAAACCCATGCATAGGCACATGTGAGAGAAAACGTTGACAAATGAAGCGATTGATATTGTTGTTGTTTCTTCTTCATCACCAAGTGCCTTAATGCTTCTATCTTTGTGCTTGTAAATTCAAAAGTGCCTCTGACAAAGTCTGGTGGCAGTGGAGCTCTGAAAATGGTGCACATCAAGCTTCTGTTGTTGGGTCGGTCCGAATTCAGAAATTGGTTCAAGAAAATTGGCTCGAGCCCAGCTCTGTCGTTTATAACCATTTTCCCATAAAATGGTTTTAGCTGATCCGGCAACTGGTTCGATGAAGATGCTAAAAATCCTCCATGTTTACAGAGGTGAGCCCATGATTTAAAAAACAGGGTTAAACTTTTTCCATCTAGGACTGCATGGTGCATGGATGTTCCGATTGAAAATCCACGGTTAGGAAAGTGGGTGATTTGCACTGCCATTGCTGCGGCTTTTTCATGAGATATTGCCAATTTGGGCACAAAATGATGGTATTCTCTGGCCTCAACAAATTCACTACCACTTGATAGATGGTTGAAATAATCAGCATGATGATTGGAGCACTGGGCTATTGTGAGTGAAACGGTGTCGCCTTGGACATAATTGAGAATGGGTTTGTGGGAACTTTGAGGCCAAGTGAGGTTTCCTGCTAGAGGAAGGAAGTGTTGGAGGGTGAGAGAGAGCGAGGCTTTGAGTTTTGGAAGTATGGAATCAAAGAAGAGTGGTGTGGAGTGAGAGGAAGGAGGCAATTCATAGAAGAATATGCGTTGAGAAGGTCGAAATCTTACCCATAATAGGTCAAAGAACGTTAGCTCATGAAGGAACTCTTGTGTGTCTGTATGTGATGGAACTTGTTGGGCCTGTGGTTGTGGAGCTACCCTGCAAATCTCAATTACTTTAACTGTGTTTTGATCTGCCATTGAAGATAGAAACAAGTTTAATGAAAATGCTTATTTTAAGAGGTTAAATGGGAGAGTTGGAATTGTGTTTTTTTAACTTCCTCCATAAAATTGATCTAAGAATATGATTGATGGAAGCCCAAAGTAGATGCTTTTACTTTACTCATCAATATAATATTTGATCCCTCAAGATACTCAGTGGCAATATTTAACCAATTAGACCTAGTGATAGTTGGCAGTGCAATGTGCATATCCAACTAAATAATTTCCAAATCTTAGATATAAAAAGCCCTAGTTGTTAAGAGAGAGAAAGCTTCATATATGGGGGTTTTCTCTTGATTCGGTCGGATCTTTAGTGTTCTTTGATTTTTGGAGGATCTATGTCGATCTACTCTTCTTTTGACAGATCTATTTCAACACCTCATCTGCAGCTGTTAACAAATACAATCCAATATTCCTCAATTCTGTCAATTTGCTTAATTAACAAATGTTTGATATTAAATACACAAAAGAAAATTCTCTCTCCCTCCCTCTCTTCCTATCCCCACCCAGCCCGAGGCCTCCTCCCACACCCCCACCAACCCAGTCACCCGTTGAAATGTTGAGGTTAATTCTTCTTTTAATGGCTGCCAGCCAAGTGAGTGGTTGGTGTGGTGATGTCCTTTTCTTTCTCTTTTTCTTTGGGACCAAGGTGGTGGGTTCTAGCATCTGTGTATCCAATTAATTAATTAATCAATCAGATTGCGAATCTAAGCTAATTTGTCATCGTTCATCACTTTCTTTTACAAGCACCGACTCTTAAATTTTAAATTTCGAAGTGGAACAATTAGTTCAACTATTTTAATTTTCCTTTTCATCTTGCTTGGAAGAAAATGTAACCACATGTACGTTTGACTGTTTGTAGTAGGGATGACATTTTAAACCGAAAAACCAAAAAACCGCAAAAACCAACCGATAATTTACTGTAATGAAACCGCAATCGCGGTAAACCGAACCGCATTTGCGGTTGCGGTTGCGGTATTTGATTTTCAAAACTTGCGGTTACTGCAAACCGCAAAGTATAGCCGCATAGATAATGAGGTTGAATTCTACAAGGAAATGGAACATATAACAACTTGTAAGTAATTAGTTTATTTATGCTAATGTTATTTAAGCTTCTTCTTATAATAAAATGTACTAAACTATATTGTTTTATTTGTAGATAACATTGGTGCTCAAACAACACAACGAGGTTCTTCAAATCCACTCACCACAAACACTTGAGTTTGTAACTTTAGTTTGTAACATTGGTGCATTGCATTTTCCTTTTAGTTTGTAACTTTAATTCACTTTGAATTGGATTTTTCTTCTTGGTTGTAACTTTAATTCATTTTGCTTTGCATTTTCCTTTTGGTTTGTAACTTTAAAGGATTTGGAATTGGAATGCTTGATAAGTTTAACTTTAATTGGAATGCTTGGAATTGTAACTTTAATTTTCTTAGGTTGCGAATGCTTGAGAAGTTGAGGAGATTGTGAATTTATATATGCTTAAGAAATTGAGGTTGTGTATTTATTTATTTAGATTGTGAATTTACATTTTTGTGAATGCTTGAGAACTTGCGGTTTTGAACCGCTAATTCGTGGTAACCGCTAATTCGCGGTCACCAAACCTCTAATTCGCAGTCACCAAACAGTAAATAGTCGATCGGTTTGCGGTTTGAGTAAAAATTCGCGGTTACCGAACCGCAACCACCCCTAGTTTGTAGCCCACAATTTAGGGAGTGGGACAAAGTTGATCAAAAGTATAAAGGTCAGACGCATATGTCAAATATTTGACCATTTCTGTTGTTTAATATGCAAGACAATGAATTTCTAATCCGATTGTAGTTTTAATTACTCTTTTAAAGTGGTACATGGGGAGTAAAATTCAAACATATCATGGCAGAGAAATTAGCAAGAACTCGATCAGGCCTCTCTTTGATGCCACCAACTCTGGTGCTGTACCAGGTGAACTCGGCCCCTTCAAACCCCATATCCTCCTGTGCGCAATCAGAAATGGCTTGTCGAAAAGCTAGCATTTGCCTGATTGATCTAGGTGCTCCCCCTTCCTTTTCTTTACTATGGAGCAGCTCGTTGAATCTCAACTAATTTGTCATCATTCATCACTTTCTTTTACAAGCACCAATTTTTAAATTTCAAAGTGGAACAATTAGTTCAACTATTTTAATTTTCCTTTTCAACTTGTTTGGAAGAAATTGTAACCACATCCACAATTTAGGGAGTAGGGCATAGTTGATCACAAGTAATATTATAATGATCAGACGCATATGTCAAATATTTGACAGTTTCTGCTGTTTAATATGCAAGGCATGAATTTCTAATTGTAGTTTAATTTGACATGTAAAATGACCCATAAAATAATTTTGATTTAAGATTAACACATAGGATTTTGAAGTGTGTCATAATGACATACATCTTTTCTTTCTGAGGAAAGAAAGCAGGGGGGAAGGGGGAGGGCCACAACCACTGTGATAAGAAAAAAAAAATTGTGACAAGAAAAAAATATATTGGATAGACGACTAATTAAATTGAATGTGGAAATTACGAAACAATGCTCAACAATTTAGCTTTCAAAGGTTGGCAAGACCTTCAGCAAACAGAGTAGCAAAAACTTGCATGGAATTTTTTTCCAAAACCAAGCCAACATCCACACCACCAGCACCATCCT